GGCGACACAGGGCCTCACTTCATGGCCTCACCCCAGTGTGTGGGCTACAATCGACAAACAGCACTACCTCTCACCATGCCCATGTGCTTGCCAGACCTGAAGGAGATCCTCAGGGCTGTTAAGTTGTGGGTAAAGAAAACCTCAGCCAACTCTGTCTTCATTGCCACTGACTCTGAGTCCCACAGTAAAGATATTGAAAAACTCTTCAAGGGGAAGGTGAGTGTGAAAGACATGTTTCAAGTGTTGCAGAAGTTTTGTGACATGTTTTAGCTCGTATGTAACTGAAACTGACAGGTAATTTTGGTAACCGGCTTCTCAGTTGTGAAACAGGTCTTGTCACAACAGCAGCATTTACAGTATAACTAAAGTGATTATGCTGCCCCACAGAAAATCTTGTTCCATAAAAAAGGTCTGTATCTTTGTCTGGTTGTGAACTTTATTGTGGCTCCTTTGTACTACAGGTAAATGTTGTGACTCTCAAGCAAGACTCTGCTCAGATGGATCTTTACATTTTAGGCAGAGCCGACCACTTTGTCGGCAATTGTGTCTCCTCCTTTTCTGCATTTGTGAAGAGGGAACGAGACGTGCATGGCCTTTCGTCCTCCTTTTTTGGCATGGACAAACCTAGGAAGCCAAATCCTAGAACTGAACTCTGAACAAAACGTTGCCTTGAGGACACTGACATTACTAAACGGCCGTAATGAGGAGGCAGGACAGCACTTGAAACACTGACGATTGTTCATTTCATGGCATTATTTCCAATGGGTGAAGCCAGATAAAAATTAAGAAACAGGTAGGTTCAGTTCTAGAACAAGAAATACACTTTATAAGGGTTTATAACAGAGGGTGTAACAGGGAGTAGTATTAAAAATGATTGTTTAGAATTTTTTGTTAAGTTGACATTTCAGAGTTTGCCCTGGGTGCCCTTTAGTGTAAAGGAGGAGAAATCCACATGTTGATACCTGGTTAATACAACCTGTCAGCAGAATCCATTTTCTGAGAAATTGTTGTTATCACCATGTGAATTTTTAGCTCCCAAAGCCCTTTAAGGTAATGTTTACTTCACAATCACAAGAGAAGTTATTCACACACTTCTACAAAAATTGAGTGGACCAAATTGATCATATTTGTGTTGGCTGTTGTGGGTATGGAAGAGGTTATTGAATGCCATCTTCCTTTGTTCCAAAGACAGTACACTAGCTGATCCTTCTGTAAATGTAAATTGTGGACATGGTAAAGGGCACAATCTTTCAATTTTCTAATATACCAGCACCAAAAAGTGATTTAAAGTGTTACATCTACATGTGATTGTTGATAAACAGTGGTCTTAGTCACTGCACATGAACGAATAGTTATTTTGCACTGTATGGATTTATTGAAATAAAAGGGACTTGTCTCAGGGCTAATCGTGCAAACTATGTCTAATGTGTTATTCTAACATCCACAAGGCGTAAAACACTAACATCTTATGAGTACAGTTAGATCAGCTGACACTGATACACGTCCGTGCTGGACGGGTTTTTCGACGCTTGCTTGCCAGATTATCTCTAATATCCGGAATTAGTTTTATACCAGTGCCGCGCGCAGGGATAAAGATAGCTTGGTTGTACATACGTTCACTAAGTTTATTTTGCGCTAACATTAACGCTCTGGGTTTCAGGAAGAAGTATATTTTATGTGAAAATCGCAGTTTTGCTGTTTAACACTATAACCTGGCAACCCTGAAGACCTCGGACCTTTGAAGAGAGTGAGCAGCCGTTAATGGCTGACTGAACAGTGGTCATGGATTAGCTGTGGTTCGCTTCATTTGAGATGTCATAAGACCTCTTAAAATATTCGGTGAGTGTTTGTGTTTTGTTATTTTCACAATTACAACATGTTTTCTCCACTTTTGTTTTACTTTTGCGTATCATTGCGTTTAACCCGTGATTAAGAGGCTGCTAGCGTTAGCCAGGTATTGCTACCACCCTCGTAGCCGAGGTTACCGGTCTGTTTGCGGTTGCTAGGCCGGTCCTATGCTCTCATTGCGGGTTGGCATTTTGGTGAGGTATCGGTGACTACTTGTCCCGTTATTTGACGTCAAAGAACTACAGCCTAAAATGATTCCTCGGCCCGTTTATGTCGGTAAAAACATTGAAAGGTCGATTTCAAAGCAAATATAATAGATCCTAGTCGGAGCTTAAATCGTTAGTCTAAATGTAGTGATCTAGTCTAGGACAATTAGTCTCAATGAAAGTGGGCGTTATTCATTTAGACTTGACTAAAATATTTTAAACCACATTAGCTCGGATGGCGGCCGTTGAAACGTTTACCCATTGAAGTATTTGACCTGTAGTAGAAAAATGTTTGTGTACAGTTCACGACGGGTGAAAACGCATTACTTTAAATTTTCATTGGCAATTATACCTAATAATCTTTACTCATTTACAGTACTGTACAATTACAAAGTACAAAATGAAATGAATCAGTTTACTACAGAAGTGTATCTTCTATTGGTTGTTTCCAACTTGCAGATATTCTTTATTAAACCTTTGAAAACCGTAAGAAATACCAAGAGATCCCTTTAAAACTGTAGTGTGCAATATAGATCATAAGCTTTTAGGACATTTTTGACCTTTTGCAGTTAAAAATTAAGCTTTTCAAATCTTGGAGTAAAGCCCATGTCCAGCGTTGTATCAGTATGTATCAAGTTTATCCTGACTTATGTACTAATCATTTAATGTCTGTCCTCCTTCACAGATTCTAATGTGGCCGTTTCTACAGGCAACCTGTTCTTAAAATAGCCTTTGGATCCACACCTGATTCGAAGTGCAAAGCTGTGTTGCACCAACTTTTCACCATGTCCAAAAGCAAGAGTTCGGAGTCGGTGAAGGTTGTGGTTCGCTGTCGCCCCATGAACGATAAAGAAAAGGCAGCCAAGTTTGAGAAGGTGGTCACTGTGGATGTAAAACTGGGACAAATCATTGTCAAGAACCCTCGGGAGGCTTCAGCCAATGGACTCCCCAAAGTCTTCACTTTTGACTCAGTCTATGACTGGAACTCTAAACAAATAGACCTTTATGATGAAACCTTTAGGCCCCTGGTGGACTCGGTTCTTCAAGGTTTCAATGGGACCATTTTTGCCTATGGGCAGACAGGTACAGGGAAGACATACACTATGGAGGGTGTGAGGAAGGATCCAGAGAGAAGGGGTGTGATCCCGAACTCATTTGAGCACATTTTTACACATATTTCACGGTCCCAGAATCAGCAGTACTTGGTGAGGGCTTCATACCTGGAAATTTACCAGGAGGAAATCAGAGACTTGTTGTCCAAGGACCAGTCCCGTCGTCTTGAGTTAAGAGAGAGGCCTGACACTGGAGTGTACGTTAAAGATCTTTCTTCATTTGTCACAAAGAGTGTGTGGGAAATTGAGCATGTCATGAATGTTGGCAACCAGAACCGTTCTGTGGGAGCCACTAACATGAACGAGCACAGCTCAAGATCTCACGCCATATTCGTCATAACAGTTGAATGCAGTGAGTTGGGAGTGGATGGAGAAAATCATATCAGAGTAGGTAAACTGAACCTGGTAGATCTAGCAGGTAGTGAAAGACAGACAAAGACAGGAGCTCAAGGGGAGAGGCTAAAAGAAGCCACTAAGATCAACCTGTCTCTTTCCGCCCTGGGGAATGTCATATCGGCTCTGGTGGACGGCAGGAGCACCCACGTCCCATACCGAGATTCCAAACTTACCCGTCTGCTGCAGGACTCACTGGGAGGCAACGCCCGAACTGTCATGGTTGCCAATATTGGCCCGGCGTCCTACAATTTTGAGGAGACCTTAACAACCTTGCGCTACTCCAACAGGGCCAAGAACATCAAGAATAAACCTCGCATCAACGAGGACCCTAAAGATGCTTTGCTGAGGGAGTTTCAGGAGGAGATCGCCCGACTCAAAGCACAATTGCAGAAACGCTCAGGAAAAAAGAAAAAGAGAAGGCAGAGGAGGAGAGCTGGGGAAGGAAGTGATAGTGAGGATCTGGATGATGGAGAGACGGAGGACGATGAGGAAGATGTAGACGACAAAGGGGATTACTGGAAGGAACAGCAGGAGAAGCTGGAGAGTGAGAGAAAGGCCATCATGGATGATCACAGTCTGGTGGCTGATGAGAAAGTTCGGCTGCTTAAAGAGAAGGAGAAAAAAATGGCTGATTTGGAGAAGGAAAGGAAAGCAGGAGAGATGCTCTCAGCCAAAGTTAAGGTAAACAGAATTTTCTAAATCTAGTTTTTCTTCATCTACACTTCAACTCTTCTTTTGACCTGATTCAGTTAATGATTTGTCAGCTTTTAAAGCCATGATGTATTACTTGAGTTCCATGTGTTTTAAGTTGTAGCATCTTTTGTTTCTTTTTTCTTCAGGCCATGGAGAGTAAGCTTCTAGTTGGTGGTAAGAACATTGTGGATCACACCAACGAGCAGCAAAAAATGCTGGAGCTGAAGAGGCAGGAAATCGCTGAACAGGTATATTTGACAGAAGTTGATCATTATCATGATGTGATCATAGTTAGCCAACCACAAGGGTGAGCGTTCCTTGCAGGAAGCTGCTCCTGGCTGCCTGAAATTGCAGTTAATAATTGTGATTTCGATATTGATTACAATTATCGTGATTATCATTTTGGCAATAATCGTGCAGCCCGAGTCATTCCACCATATTATACTGAAGGTCACAACTAAAAATCTAGAAAAGAGGAGAGTTAGTGATGGACCAGATGCTAGACCAGATCACATTAGGTAAGAGGTAGGTCACATCCTGGATGTTTTACAACCAAATAAAATTAGACCCACAAAAAAAAACCCCACAATGCTAACACTGACTTGTTCATGCTGCTGAGCCGCAAACCCGAACATCTTTACACAGTATTTATTGGTTACTGTCAAAAGTGTAATACTGTAGTAGTTGAGAGTAGGAGATAAAACAACAGTTTCAGTTTTTAGTTGAAGGTACAACCTGAGCTTTCGTGTTGTTTTGCAGAAACGCAGAGAACGAGAGATGCAGCAGCAGATGGACTGTCGGGATGAGGAGACCCTGGAGCTAAAGGAGACTTACAGCTCCCTGCAGCAGGAAGTTGACATCAAAACAAAGAAACTAAAGAAGGTACAGACCACACCCTGCAGCCCACTTTTGGTAGTACAAAGTGACTCGAGGCCTGTTAAATATTATATTTGATGAAGTCGTGATTGTACCTAAGCAAAAATGTAGTCTTCCGGGAGGGGCCTGCTCAGTGTCCTGATGCCTCACGTGGTCCCTTTTTTCATTTTTAAAACATACTTTTACTTTTTGCTATTGCTAGCGTAGAGAAGACAGTCTTCTACTTTGTGTATTGGAGCTGGTTAAGAGGCATTACCACCTTGTGTGGTGTGGTTAAAAGCTGCATTGTAACTGAGCTTCCCACAGATAACATCTCTAGTCTCTTGAGTCGATGACCTATCTAATCCCAGGCCCATAGGTGAAAAACCTAAAGGTTTTTGCAGCCCTTTTGGAGGCGCTAGTGGTCAAAGTTCCTATGTTAGTCACTGGTTTAGAATCAGAATTCATGATTTCACTAAAAAAAGGCTATAAAAGACCATTTCATTTTCTAGTACCTTTATGAGCAATAGAGTCCTTTTCATCAAACAAACCTCAACTCATCTTTATTTCCTCTGCCCTTCAGCTATTTGCTAAGCTGCAGGCAGTGAAGGCAGAAAACCAAGACATCCACGAGGCACATATCAAAGAGCGCCAGGAGCTGGAGCAGACCCAGAATGAGCTCACCAGGGAACTTAAACTCAAGTATGTCGTCCGCACCATCAGTGTTCTATCTGTAATGAGAGAGGTTGGCTTTTCAGGTTGAACAACCTGAACAGTCTAGTTTTTCAGCAGCTGTGGTATTGTATCCATATATTTAGGACACATAGGACACACAACCACAGCACTTAATTGTTTTGTGTAATTTTACTGATGAGCTATATACTGTCAAACTAAGCTTATAGTACCCTCTGCTGGTATGTACTGGAACTATTTCGCTGTCTAAGACTATCCTTGCAACACGGATCAGTTTTATGCAAGACAGGTGATAAGAATAAGCAAACACAAAGTTGTATAATGTATAGTTTAATTATTACATATATGATGTATATTGTGCTATACATTTGAATAATACAGCTTTCTCTGTAGTGTCAGTTTTGGAGCCTTCTGTTGACTGTCCAGCCATGTATGATTTTTTTTTTCCAAAATTAGGCGAAGGTTAACTTGAGGGCTTATCAGTTATCATGCTAACGTAGATACAAAAAAAAAATCCTGGTATAAATGTTCCACAGCCTGGCTCTTTTCAGCCTGGCTTTCCCTGACCTAAAGTAGTAGTAAAGTATCTCAACATTTATTAGGCAAAAAGAAACATCAAATTTCAGATTTTAGGTGATTGACCTCATGAAGTAATGTTTAGAGTAACATTCTACAGGTCTAGCTGTTTATTACACTACAAGGTATTTAGATTTTCTCTGTTTTCTTGTTACAGTTCAGTCTACATTGCATTTCACAAACAACAACTAAATATTGTGGTGCATAAAACAAATTTGAAATTTTGTGGCTACAGCCAACCAAGAATTTCTCTTGTTGATTACAGCCCTAATTTGTACTTATGCACAATATGGTTAATGGCTTATTTTTGTTTTATTTTTTTCAAGACATCTGATCATTGAGAACTTCATTCCTCTGGAAGAAAAGAACAAAATAGTCAACAGAGCTTACATAGATGAGGAGGACGAGCACTGGAAAATGAAGCCCATCACTCGTCTGGAGGAGTAAGTTCAAGATATTATAGTGTGTGAATTCCTTGCATGATTTTGGGGGGACTTTTTAAATAAAATTTAAATGTATACACCACAAGGAAAATGTACATTTTTTTACTTGAAAGCCCTTCACCAATGCTACACGTTCAGGTAATTAGACAAAGGGTAATGTGTTTCTTTAGCTGCAACTCTTCTTCCACTATAGTGTTAAATGCAAAGAGCTGTAAGCTGTAAAGAGACATAGCATTGACCAACTTTGTGTTTCTGCCTCAGTGAACATCAGATGATGACGAGGCCTGTATCTGCAGTGGGCTACAGGAGGCCTCTGTGTCACCATGCCCGTGTGGCCATGATGATGAAGTCGGACATGAGATATAAGGTGATCTGACAAATGTATTTAGTTAGAGCACTGGGAAAGAAAACAAGACTCTTAGATGCATCATATTTTTCTTTTAATCCACCTTTATTTGAATCTGTGTTTTTTTGTCCCATCAGGCTGAAAATATTCTGATCCTGGACATGGACCTGCCCACACGGACCACTAAAGAGTACCAGGAGCCAGTGATCGCCCCAAAGGTGGCAGCAGCTCTGGAGGACGCGCTCAGGGATGAGGATGAGATACAAGTAGATGCCTCTGGCTTTCGCAGCACTTTGGGACCAACTACGCCATCTAGTGCCAGCCTGAGGAAACCAAAGTCTGGGTAAGTCGTAACCATCTACAGCTCTTTTCGGGTGTTAAATCCAAAGAAATGTCGGTGCTATCACTAAGTTCTAGAAATGTTATGTAGATATGGTAATTGTAATACATTAATCAGATGAACAGCAGTATTGGCCAGTGTTTGCCTAGTTAACTGCCATTGGCCAACAGGAAATTGTCAAGTGCTTTTGACTCGAGGTCTAATCTGCTAGGAGGACACAGGTTACTGTGGGCAATAGCTAATTTCAAAACAACAAAATGAAATTAACACAGAAAAACTAATTAAAAAAAAAAAAACAACCTAAAAATCAACTGGTCAGAATTTTCCTCGAGCCTGAATGTACTTAACGATAAATATTTTCAATGTAGCTTCAGTGCATTATTTATTTTTTGAACTTGTATAATTCACTTTTTCACTTGTTATCTATTTATTTATTTATTATTATTACTTATTTATTATTACTTATTATTACTTATACTTAAAGGCTTGCTAATAGTTTTTCAATTAAGAGTCAAAACTGTTTTTGGTTTTGATTCTGGTATTGATGTCGTGTCATCTTCAATATACTTTTGCTCATTAGTCTTTCATATCTTCAGGTATGTTATCTGTTATCTGTATCAACTTGAAAAAAGTTATTGTGCATCCCTAATTAACGTTAGCTTAAATGTCAAGTAAAAGATTGACTTCGAGGTTGTTTTTGTTTCATACATTTGTCTAAATTAATTTGTGTGCATTCAAGGATGATATGATAAGAGCGGAGACTTTAAAAATACTTTAGTAATGTTTCCATGGCACCAAACAGAGAATGAATAACAAAAAGAAAAAACATCGGCATCAGATTTCACAATCAGTTTATTTCTTCATTTTATCCATTGTTTGCATTTACTAACATTGATCAGACGTACGTTTGCACCCTCTGCTCCTAGTAACACTCTCTTTTATGGCTTTTTATCCCACAGTCGACCAAGAACTGGCAAGAAATCCAGCACGCCTACCTCTCCGTACGGCATCTCCAGTCCAGGATCTCCTCTGTACCCACAGTCCCGTGGCCTCGTACCCAAGTGACCTGCTCTGCCTGTGCTGCTTCCATTTGCAACCTCTCCTGTGCACCACTCCACTTTGGGACTCAACTTCAAGCAAATGGGTTTGTTTTTGAAATTTGTTTTTGTTAACATCTTAATATTTGTTAAAACTACTTTACTGGTCGCCCGGCAACCCCGTTGTGACAACGTGTCTCACGGAAGTCGCTAAGCTAATCATCAGTTAGTTGTACTTAATCCCCCCTTTTCCCCAGTCCACTGCTTTGTGTACTAAAAAAACGATGTCTACATGTACACCTGGTACACATGGGCATTTTTGTATCTTGTTCTTTTTTTTTTTAAGCTGTGTAATGGCAGAATGTATATGGGCAGACTGAAGTATACATTCCACACTTGCCCTCTTTCACAACTTGCTGTAATCCATAGATGCTGTTCTTCCTGAGACAGAGGTGGGGATCATTGGCAGAGAGTTGCACTTGTTCATGTTGAGGCCTGGGGTCATGAAGTACTTCCTAGGTCCCACATCCACACGAAGCGTCTCCGCATTGCTGCATGTGTCCCCCAAACTCAGTGCTGCTCACTGTAAAGAGACGGGAGAGCCAGTGATAACATTACTGCCTTGTCTTTTTTCAGATGTTACATCACATTAGGTATTTAGTAGAGCTGCATATTTGTGAAATATCTGCTATTTGCTGCAAAAAGAAAATTTGACATTAGCTTTACACATTTGATTCAGCTACATATGCAGGCAGAGCTGTTGTAATAGTAATATGGTCTCGTGCTCAGATACTGTCCATCTAGTGCTGTCGGTGATTTCAAATCAGTTAAGCCTTTAGTTAAGAAGTGACTGCTCAACCTGCTAATTTCTAAGATGTCACAGAGCTCCTTTTACGCCCCCTCAGTAAAACATTGTTGGCTATTTATGCTACAGTTGTACAGTGCAGAGGTATTTGATGGCACAGAGGAGAGATATTTACAAGTTACATGTACAGGTCGAGGTATCAACGTCGTGCACATTGAAAAGGTCATAGTGACCGTATGGTTTTACAACTTTAAACAGCAGTTTAGTGTCCAGGAAAAGTTGTTTTGTGACAGGGTTTTAACCTGTAGATTATCGGCACAGTTATCCATCACTGGTTTTAGTAGTAAAAATCCCAGAGGAGTGCACTGTGTGTGTGTCAGCTACAACACTAAACACACACGATATAGGTTTAGGAATTTACATACATCTCTAGGAAGTGCTGGGATGCATCATCGGCGATGTTCTATACAGAGCTAGGCTTCCATGTTTCCCACTGTCTCTCTGCTGATCTTTGTTTCCACCCTCTAAAAGTGAGGGGTTTGTCGCCCACTCACTGCTACTGTGCAGGGTTTCTCATCCCACTGTGACTTAAAATAAATACAGGGCTGGGCCAAACAGCCAATAAAATACTTGACATTGTGCAATAAGCCTGGGCCAGTGGTAAAAATTCATGCCCCAGTTGTGTTTTTGAAAATAGTTTAGAGATCCATTGACTGTTTGATTATGATAAGTGATCAAAGATTTTCAGTTTGGAAAACTTCTAAAACAAAGCAGAACCCACTAATTTCTGTGTTTAAGGGGCAAAGCTTTAACAATAGTGCCCTTAGGACATGTTATAAAAACACAAGGTCAAATAAAACTCCAAACATAGACACTAATATTAAAGGTTCCTGCTGTTTGGACCACACCTACATATACACAAATATACTGTACATGATAACTGTCCACAGTCTTTTTCTTTTTTTAGAGCTGTACAAATATATTGAGAATAGTCTAACTTATAAAATTTAATTTTTTTTACATACTACCATGTAGATAAAATAAATTGTTTTTCTTTAAAGATAGACTTGTTTTTTAAGCTTTGTAAAATAATTGAAATGTTACTGTTTGCGCAGATACATTGTTTGGACATTCTGACTCATTACAGAGAATGGTAAATGCTTTTGTGCATATGGACAGGTTTTGTATAGCTGTGAGGACAACGTTGTGTCAGATCACCTTGTATCTCATGTCCGACTTCATCATCATGGTCACACGGGCATGGCGACTCGGTGGCCTCCTGTAGCCCCATGCGGATACAGGCCTCGTCGTCATCTGACGTTCACTGAGGTAGAAACACAAAGTTGGTCAAAGATATTAGTTCTGTACATTGGAAGTTGCCAAACAAAATCTTTAACGCCTTAAAATTTTGGATTTTAAGGCATTTAAACACCATTTTGTCTGAATAACCATGTCCAATTTCAGGCAAAAAAATTAAGTAAGTCTTCCAAACATTCAAACTTAATTTAATCCAAACAAAGAAACTTTCTTTCTTGATCTCGGGCAAAACATCATTCAGGGTTTCAAACAAGTTGTTTCCTCACAACTATAGAAGAACAAGTTTGAGTGAGTACCCTGGTGAACTTCGCGTCCCAGCTCACTCATCTAAACTCAACATTTTCATATTAGAGGCCTGATTGTAGAAACTGAACATTGCATCGTTTGAAACCCAGTACATGGCACCGGCACGCTTAGTAGTATAATCCATGTTCATCACTCAAAAGAATTCAGTGAGGAAAATGTGAATGTCTTAATCAAATGCTTGTTATTGTGTCTGTGTCATGTAACTACAGTACGTCACTGGATCCACACAGCACGTCGAAGACTTTGACGCAGGTATTGTTTTTATGGTCAGATGCTGGAGCACTTTTGTCTGTGAATGTCCATTGTCTTTTACTTTTTATTTAGTTTCTTTTATCATTAAAGACATTCCAAAGTGGAAAAAATCCTACACTGGTGTTTTGTTTGTTTGTATCATTTATGAATATATTTGGTCCAAAATGTAATATTTCATGAATATTTTTTGAATAACATAATTGTTTTGCAGGTCACAAGTAAGTATTTGCACCCCATTCTTGAGTCAAATAAAAACTAGAAAGTCTCAGGTCAAGTTCCACGTCAAGACTGACAAGTCCTGCTGCTCCAGTTTTATGTTGGAGTTTTTAACACAAAATATTCAC